TCTCTACAACTACAGCAATGAACAGCAACCGGACAACTTGACTACCAGCGAGTGATGATGTCAACACCAATGCCGTATTCCACCATCACCAGGTATGTGTCATCTTCCCCACACTCTCCCTTGTTACCCACACAGCGCCCTTCACCTCCGAAGTACCACCTTCGCCCTCACCTCCATAGCCTGGGCCGGCAAGTCCCATACCTCCAAACTAGCTTTGTGTTCATCCTGGATCAGGCAGCGCCCCCCTCGTTTCCCGGCCCCTCCCTCCCTCTTCCCTTCACACCCCCCTCCCCCGTGATACGCATGCCGGTGCCTGATTGGAGAGCAGCTGCAACATGCCAGGATCAACAGCACCGGAATCAGCAATCGCAGAGGGACAAGGCCGATGGCGGACAGCAGCAGGGTGCCAGACTCAAAGTCCTAAGAATGTGCATCACGCCCCCCGATAGCCGAAAGCCGGAAGACTGCATAGTCCCCTCCGGAATGGGTTCTGGAGAGCACAGAGCGGGCCAAGAGTGATTTCGCCTGCAATGGGCATGTAACTATCTGCACAACAAGATGGGGAAATGCGAGGTGTGTCTGCCTGCAGAGGCTGGGGCATATTCATAAGGGACAGCAGCAGCCACGGGTCCCGTGGATACTATCACTTCTGGTACCTGGTCATGTAGGCAACCACTTGGGGCTGCACAATGGGTCTGCATGTCGAGCGTGTCGTAGTGTAGAAAAGATCTGCAGCCTTCTGCCGTTCTGCTAAATGTCTGTACAAATATTCAACTGTAACAATGGGGACGCTGGACCCGTTTTCCAGCAGGTGCTGCCCCCCACCAATAGATGGAGCCTCCAGGGAATGCTAGTGGTGTCTGCTCTTATCAGCACCCCTAGCACTACCTTGGGTGTCTTCCCTGAAAGGAAAAAAAAAAAAAAAAAAAGAGCCAGAGACAGCTTATCAAGACATGGGAGGAAATCTTCCCAGCCACGGTCCGGGAGCCCAAAACAAGGGAAGACTTGTAAGAGGTCTTAAACCACCAGTACTTCCTAAAGTTGTGCCCGTTAACAAGCCACAATTTTAGGAAACGTACGGGCCACTACAGGAGCGCCCATATTCAACTAGAAACGTTTCTACATTTTTTTCCATGGCCGATAGCTGGGCCAAGTACTGCTGGTTTAAGGCAGCCCCTCTTCTGCAGCCACTGAATTAAGGACGAGAGAGGGAAACCAAGAACCCTTACTGCCCGGGACACCAAATTGGGATCCTGGCTCGAACACGGAGTATGGCAAGTCAAACATTTATGGTCGGGGGAGAGGAGTCGATGGAAAACAGCGAGGGGACTGCGCAGCGAACTCAAGGGGAGCCACAACCTACTCGAGAACCTAAATGACTTGCTGATATCAATCGTAGAGGGATGGAGAAGTCTACTGGAGGGGACTGCGCAGCGAACTCAAGGGGAGCCACAACCTACCGGAGAATCTAAATGACTTGCTGTTATCAATCCTAGAGGGATGGAGAAGTCTACTGGAGAAGGGTCTCCACTGGGAGTTTGGGGACTGGGTAACACGGAAACACGACGAAAAAACAGGCAAGGCGTTTCGGATGCAGAAAAAGAGGGACCGCGGGAAGATTGGCTGCTCACAGATATGTACCTCATAGAGGAACCAGGAGCTACAACCAGCAAACTCAACAAGGACCCAAGGACCCCAGTTTCAGTAAGTCGGGACCGGGTGAGAAGGGTGAGGGATATAGAGACGGAGGACTTCACTATTTATGACCCAAGGACGCTGATAGAAGAGCTGGAGCTAGACCCAGCAGATGGGCCTGGAACCAAAGGGGAGGAAGACTCAAGGTAGCGCTGAGAACAAATGTTCTACACTACACAACAAAACTGGGTAACCGGCTCAGGATGAGGTCCTACCCGCTGGAGGAGCCGATAACGAAGTGCTGGGAAGATAAAATGGGAGTACCACCGGCAAGGCTCAAACTACCGCCGGCAAGGCTCAAACTCCTACCCTGGTCGGGACTGTGCGCCATTAGGCTGGGTCACATGAGAAGCATGGAGTGGCTGATTATCCATGCAGCGCTGCCGATCAACGAATCGTTGAACAGGAGGAGGAGTCAAGAGAACAGCGGACCGCACCAAGAGAACAGCGGACCGCACCGCATGCAGCGCTGCCAAAACGAACAGGAGTCCCTACCGCACTGCCTCCTGGAGTGTGGAAACGCTGGGCAAGTCTGGGGCTTAGCTATGGTCTAAAATTTCCAACAATGAATTCCCAGAAGACCGAGCAACCTTACCCCTGGGCACAGGACCGCCAGGCAATTGGAACAATTTCGAAATGAAAGCTTTCCAACTGCTCAGACAATATATGCATTGTGGACCACCTGGAAGAGGAGGTGCCAGGCAGCAATAGAAAGGAGACAAATGCAAATCCCAGAGGCACGGGAAATCTACAACAACCTCCTAGGGACAGACATTCGGGCTCAATGGGAAAGAAGGAAGAGGATGAGGGACAATCCGGAGGGGGCGAAGGAAATAAAAAGAAGGTCCGATCAAGGAGTTTTCGGGGGGCCGGCAAGGTAGCAACTGTAGAAGCATGGAGCCTCAGATTTCACTGGGGTCACAGATCATAGCACTGCTCGGTAGGAGGTAGTCGTCGGGCATCATTACACTGGGTCAGGGACGAGCAGAACGGGAACAGGGATAGGGGGCTGCCCAAAGGAACTTAACAGTCATCTGGGTGATTGGAAAAGATGAACAGTAGGAGGAAAAGAAGAAGCTAGTTAAATCATGGTTTTAGGGGTTAGGGTTTAAGGGAGGGAATGGGGAGCAGAGGATAGACTTATCGTGGTTAGAAGGGGGGTAGAAGAAAATAAAAACAGGCAAGAAGTTAGACTAGGGGTTTGTAGCTAGGGCAGTTAGCAATGGAATAGAGGGTGGGACCAGGGGAAGAGGAGAAAGAGGAGGACCTGTCTCTTATACACATCTAGATGTGTATAAGAGACAGGGGTAGAAGAAAATAAAAACAGGCAAGAAGTTAGACTAGGGGTTTGTAGCTAGGGCAGTTAGCAATGGAATAGAGGGTGGGACCAGGGGAAGAGGAGAAAGAGGAGGACCTGTCTCTTATACACATCTAGATGTGTATAAGAGACAGGGTCAGTAGACAGTAGTCGTAAGTTACGAAGCTGTGAATTCTGGGGTAAAGGTTCTTCTGGGCATATCATAAGCGAGTGATTTGTCTGGTTAATTCCGTTAACGAATGAGACCTCAGCCTGCTAAATAGCTACGCGGGGACCTTTCCTCGTGGCCAGCTTCTTAGAGGGACTGGCTAATGCCGCGAGGATAACTCCGGGTTGAATTGTGAGGTCCCCGGCCTCAAATTTCATTCAGTTAATAAAATGATTCTGCTTTGGTCAAAAAAAAAGGGAATTGAATTTTCAGAGAGAGAGGGGGAAAAAAAAGGCGGGGTTGGAATGGCCAAGCGGCCTAGCTCAGTTGGTAGAGCACGAAAGTGACATTCAGGAGGTCATGGGATTGATTCTCCACGTCTTCCATTCGAACCCCCACGGCCTCCTGCGGCCCCACGGCCTTCAGCGGGTTCACCAGCTGAGATAGTTGGCTTGCCCCTCCTGGTTGGTTGAGGTCGGGATCCTCCTCCCAGCCGCAACCCGGTGTTAGGAGCCGGGGTTCTGCTCCCAGTACCTAGCAGTATAGGAACTAAGTGGCGGCATTTGATTACTTCCCATAACCCCTGCTGGAAAAAAAAAAAAAAAGGTTGTACAAAAATATAGCTGTCTTCCGTATGAGGAGAAGACAGCTTTCATTGAAAAAAAAAACGAAAGTGGTTGGAATAGTGCCCCACCGGCTGGCTAGCGGTGGCGAGTGGATAGGTGAAGCTGTGGCGACCGGGAACAACACTGCCCAACCCCTGTGGCTGGAACTCCCCTGGGGTATCCCAGGGTTACCGCTGTGTGGCATAGGGGCGGCCGCGGGGAGAGAGACACCCATGCCACTGTGAGGCATGGACCGGACTGGAGGAATGAATACACATTAGGAATGGTTTGTAGGGGCGAGGGGTAGGCTTGGAACAGAGCCCGGTGAGGTGTGGATTGAATCATTGACAGAGTGAGCCGAAACCGGGTCAAGGCCCCGGTAGAATGCCATCTGGTTGTATCTGATTATGGTACCCATGGGACACTGGACCCGGTTTCCAGCAGGTGCAACTCCCCCCACCAATAGACAGGAGCAGCCAGGGAGGTCTGCTAGATGGGGCTGCTTGTACCACCCCCTCTAGCAGACCGTGACTGACTTTGTATATATATTTAAAAAAAAAAAAAAAAAAAAAAAAAAAACTCACCTTGTAAGGCCCTCAGTCCCATAAGGGTAATTCATGAATGGAATTCTCAATTACCACCAGTTGTCTAGACCTCTGACACCTTGTGAGTGGCAAATGTGCACAGGGCTGACAGAGAGAGTGCTTCGCCTTCAGGAAGCTCTTGAAGTAAAGGATGCAGCTTTGAAGGTGAACGCCCATGAACATTCAGTGCCTTCACTTACATGCATCTAATGAGAAACGGATTGCAGTTGGAACGAAGCTCAGTTGTTGCCATGTATTATTGCTTTTCTTTAGCAATTGCAACATGTAGCCAGAGAACCCTGCAAGAGGACCTACTTTGTTTCTCTTTTCGTTCTTTCCCTTCTTTTCCTTAAACCACCACTACCCCCACCGTCCTAAAGTCAGGGGGACCGGTAGCACAAGTTGAAGAGGGTTACCGGTAGCACAGTGGAGAGAACCAGGGGAGTGGCAAATATGGAAAATGTGTTGAATTGCTGCTGCGATTTTATTTCGCTGTTTAGACGATATATATGAAACAGTTTGTCACAGCCCCTCGTTTGTTGTCCTCTTCTCCCTCTCTGCCTACGGTTTAACGGGCAGTTCTATTTGACGATATATATCGTCAAATAGAACTGCCATATTCCTGGAAAGAGCAAGACCAAATCTACGGACCCTCCAATTTCCAGATTTCCTGACACATTCTTTTTATCGTGAAAAATTGCTGAAGTTGAGGTACTTTTCTAATTGGCCCACACGTGGTAGAGTGGCAAAAATGGAAAATGAAATGAATCAGCACGGCGTTTATTTCGCGGTTTATATATATATATATATATATATCGTCACAAATATATATATATATATATATATATATATATAGTTCTGTTTGTGACAATATATATATATATATATAAACTCCGACGAAACAGTTTGTCACAGCCCCTCGTTTGTTGTCCTCTTCTCTCTCTCTGCCTACGGTTTTACCGGGCAGTTCTGTTTGTGACGAGATATATATATACATTTGTCATTTGGTCGGATACTCGGCGGAGTTCCCAGCATATATCCAGCTTCGCGCCTACACATTACTGTGTAAGTACCCCAAGATGATGAGGTGCCAAACGACTCCGTCGATATGAGCTCTTGGGAGTCATCAGCCTGTTATCCCCGGCGTACCTTTGATCCGTTGAGCGAGAGCCCTTCCACACGGGGCCCCCGGATCACTATGGCCGACTTTCGTCTCTGTTCGACTTGTAGGTCTCACAGTCAGGCAGGCTTTGACCATTACGCTCTACAGCTGCGCAAAGCGCTAGCTTGAGCCTACCTTCGCGCGCCTATATATATCGTCACAAACAGAACTGCCCGGTAAAACCGTAGGCAGAGAGAGAGAAGAGGACAACAAACGAGGGGCTGTGACAAACTGTTTCGTCGGAGTTTCACCGACTCATCAGGAGGC